CTATTTTTCCAGGGGCTGCGTGTATTCCTTCATCATCTATGACATGTCCTAGGATATCGAGTTTATCGGCAAACAGAATTGATTTGTTTCTGCTAGCGTAGAATTTAGCATTCCTTAGTTTGGTACAAACCAAACCTATATGGTAGGCGTGTTCTGTTGCGGTGTTCGAGAAGATGAGAATATCATCAATGTAGACCCAAACAAAATGGTGGAGGTATTCGCTCAGGAGGTTTTCCATAATTCGTATAAAGGTGGCGAGCGCATTCATATCACCTTGTAACATAACTCGGCTAATGAAACTTCCGAAGGGTGTTTTGAAACTGTTGTAGCGTTCGCTTTCTGGATCTAACCTTGTTTGGAAGTAGGCATCACTTAGGTCAATCTTACTTCGGAATCTAGCCCGTCCAACTGCATTTAGGATCTGGGTTTGGTTTGGGATAGCGGAGCTGTCCATAACCGTGTTTTCGTTCCGTAGCTTGAGATCAACCAAGGGGCGGATTCTTTTGCCCTCTGCTTTGGGTTGAACAAACATAGGAGTGGCACTTGGGGCTTCTGCTCGGTAGATGACTCCTCTTCTTTGTTGTTGGTTGATCCAATCACAAAGTGGGCTTTTGTATGCGTCAGGAGTAGAGTAGGTGGGTTGGTTCTTGAGATTGGCGGGGTCTCGGAGGCAGATGTAGTGGTTCACCTCTCTCATAGGTGGTAGTTCTTCGCGTATTTGATCAGAGAAAACATCAGAGTACTCATCCAATAGTCGTAGGGCAGTTGCTTCACAGACTGCAGCTCGGTATTCTCCGCTTGTTGGCTTGCATGAGACTCTAACCTTCTGTTCTGGGAAATCGATAGTTGATTCCCCTACACCTGATTATAGCTTTGTGGCGATACAGGAATGGCATGCCTATTAGGGCATCGTATTTGGCTAAATTTCCAATCAGCATTTCCTGGGGGGGTAGTATAGCAGAACCAAGTCGAATAGTCGCAGAACATGTTTTATGGCTTGTGGATCGTGATCCCTTTACTGCCATATTGACTGGTATGGGTTGGTTAAGGTCTCGGGTTGGGAGTCCATGGACAGAGACAAAGGCATTACTGATCATATCTCTTCCGATTGCACCAGTGTCGAATAGGACTCGAGCCCTTTTACCATTGATCAGGATAGTACCTTCCAGAGCGGTGTGTGCTTTGAATGTAGCCGGAGGTCGAACACTGTTGCATTCCACATCGATATATCCGATATGGATTTCTTCATATTCACTGGATTGGGCGTTATTGCTTTCAACATTGTTGGCTGATGCCTCTTGCTTAATTGCCTTTCCTTTTCCTTTCTTTGTAGGACAGTTCTTTGCCATGTGCCCTGTTTTTCCACATTCAAAACATTCTGCTTTTTGCCGTCTCGATTCTTTGGAGGATTTTGTTTTCTTCTTGAAAACCCGTGGGGTATCGTCTTCAGAGTTGCTGGAGGCTTTGTGTCGTGGCTGGCTGTTCCTATTAGAGGATGTCTGTGCTTTGTAGGCCTTGGTCTCATGGAGAATGGCGTCCTTTCGTTCTGCTCTTGCAATTATTACTGCAATATCATCGCCATCTTCCTCGAGTGGTTCTACTTCTCGCCGGAGGGTAGGGTGCATGGTGTCGTAGAATCGTCGCTTCAGGATGTATTTTGAGATACTTTCTCTCTCCATCCGGTCCTTATACATCATTAGGTCTGTAGCCACATCGGTGATTTGCTTGACATGCATTCCGTTAACTTGCTGGAGCTGGTTGAATTTGTTGTATAGGAGGTCGTTGGTTATAGAGGATTGGAATTGTCCTTTCAGGTAATCGAGAACTGTAGATCCTCTTAATCTTACATTCCCGCCGAAGTCCTCATAGCATTGGTAGTATGCGTCGGTTGCCTTTCCTTCACAGAATGATCCAATGATAAGTCCAGTTATAGGGTCTTCCACATCTTTTTCTTGTAAGAGTAGGAAGTGTGAGAGTTCTGTTGCCCATCGTTCAAAGGCTTCAGGTTTGAGGTCTTTTCCTTCTCCTGTGAACTTTGCTGGGAGGTGGAGTTTAAACTTAGGGGGTTCAAATGCTGCGGGTACCTCCTCTTCTTCAGGCCTTGCCCGAGATTTCCCTCCTCCAGAAGGCCCTCCTGTGCTAGCCATATCTGATTCGCTACTAGATTCGGGGTCGCTTGGAGGTTCAAAGGAAGGCTTCTTTGCCGGGGTAGAAGGGAATTCTCCTGGAGGTTGTGTATCTTCTGTGTTTGCAGGATTGCCCGGCTCTTTAGCTGAGCTCTGGGGTTGTTTCTTTCTTGTAAGGTCTTGCCGTGGGATTTGCTTCCCACTCCTGGTCGTCAAAGACTCTATCTTGGGTTTGAGGTGAAGCTGAATGTGCTGTGATTCTGCCGCTTCTCTCCGCTAGCGTTCTGAGGTGGATATCGATAGGTTGATCAGGCCTAAATCCAGGGACAGGTTCTTAACCACTTGCTGAGGGTAAAAAAATGTAACGTGTTTGCAAGGTGCTAGTCACGTTATCGGTAATTGATACGATAGTGGGCAGGTGGCCTGCTCTTCCAGAGAGGAGGCAAGAGCTGAGAACTAAAGGAGGCTTCGAGGGTGTACTGAGGAACAAAGAAGTAACCATTCAACCAAGTATATTGAAATACTGTCTGTCGAAGTCTGCCTTTTCTATCGTAGAAATAGGCGGTCTTTAAATATACAAATTTGTTCATGTCTAGCATGAACAAAACTAATCAAAGGTATCAATTGATACTCTTTGGTAAAACTCCTTAAGTATCAAAGCGATACTTAAAACAAAACATAAAACAAAACCAAGTATCAAACAATACTTAAAACAAACCAAGTATCAAAGCGATACTTAAAACAAAACATAAAACAAAACCAAGTATCAAACAATACTTAAAATAAACCAAGTATCAAAGCGATACTTAAAACAAAACATAAAACAAAACCAATAACCAAGTACCCGTACCGGTTACAATGTGACCAAGAATATCACATGCTTAAAACCCATGACCTCATAACGTAGTTATGTACAAAACTCATAAACCAATCATAACGCAATAAACAAGTCATACGACTCGACTGAGTCATATGCGTGAAACCCATGACCTCATAATGAGGTCATGTGCGAAACATAAATCATATGCGCAAGGCATACCCACAAGGCACACTCATAAGGCACATTCGTCAGGTGCATGTTCTATGACTCATAATTGAGTTAGGTGCGAAAGCATCACAAATCCCACACATAACAAATCATATGACTCGAATGAGTCATATGTGTGAAACAATAACATACCTGTGACTCATAACCATGTGTCACATGAAAACCTTTCTCATGCCAAGCCACGTTTGTGACACTGAGTTATTCAGGTAGTTCCTCTGGAATCTTCCAGCCAGATATAGCATTCATCTGTCCAGATAAGTTAGCTCCAGTCTTCCCTTGTCCAGTACTGATGCCAAGGAGTAAAATTTAGTCGCAAGCTTTTTCTCTACTTATTGAGTTGGAGTTTTTTTCTTGCAACCTGATGAGCATACCCTTCAAGTGAGAAGGCTTTCCGGATAGTCTTATCACTTCCTTGCATACCGTACAGCTCTGCTACTTCTATTAGAGGCATTCTCCAATGTGCAGAGTTAGTGTATAGATGGAGAAGGGTTGTCCCTTTCTCTTTTTCGGTGTGGCTGGTGCCTTGCAGATATTGTGAATGGTGCTGAGACCAAGATTTTCGTCTTCAGCAATTCTCTAAAGGGTCTAACTAGTCCGATATCTTAGAGCATGGACAAAGTAGTGGGTTTTATATGTTGTTTCTGCTGTTTTAATTGGAGGTATCTACTTTTTTTATTAGTCTATACTTTACATTTGGCCTCTCTCTTTTTTTTTTTTTTAGTCCTGGAAATGATTCTCACCATTTTCACAAATGTTCAATATATTTCTCTGCTGATATATGGATATAGGAGCTGGGAGGATGCTTGAGAATGGTACGGACAAGGCTTAAAGACCAGAATTTGGCCTGGAATCACATTATATTAATTACTTTCAGCCCAGTACATGGGCCTCCATGGTATGTCTTACCCACCCTTGCCCTACCCCTAATTCTCACCTGAATGTTCGGGTACTTATAGCCTGTGACAAGTATCATATCCCCTAGGCCGCTGAGACATTCCAGCCCAATATAAAACGTTGACACTAGCCTATTTGAGTAACCGTGATAGAAAAAAATCTTGTTACTCACAAGAGTAGTGCTCAGAATACTTCAAGATCTTAATGATACCGGTACGAGTACTACTCTTTACTTGTATGGTCGTGATGAAAACTACAGAACTTGCATAAATTTATTCCTGCCTACTAAAATAGGCTAAGCATTGAAGGTGCCATAAAAACTGGACCACCCTAAGACGTCCGGAATTTCCTCCTTTGGATTGGAGGGGAAACGCGCGGCGAAGAAAACTGTCTTTCAGCCCTCAGCTGAGACAAATACAACTCAGTCTTACTAGGAAAAGTAACTCCAACGTCCAAGTGTGAGGGTCCGATTATGATCATACTCGTACAGTTTTCACAGCAATATACTTGTACTAGTACAAGTACAAGTATGAGTAACTTGGGTTACCAAAAGCCTCGCAAAAAGGGCCAGGGAGGTTTTCCCTATGTTTACCCGTATAGATAAGCAACGTGGATGTTTGGGGAAAGAGCCAATTGGCTGTCTTGGAGTGTGGGCCCTGTGGAGCTGTGGTATGGAAATTGTGAGGCTGCAGTGATGTCAGGGCCCCCGTCTATCATGGATCAATTTCTAACCTCTGGCCCTAACCTGCCGTACCTTTTATAGGAAACATGCCTCTAGGTTGCTGGGAAGTAAAATACCATATTGTGATAGCAGGGATCTGTGCCAGTGCGCTCCGAAAGAGTGGGCTCGGCTAGAACCTAACCAGCGATGAAGCAGTCCTTCCTCACGTTCAAGCGCGGAGGGACACAGAGGAAGAAGGGAAATGGGGAGACACCAAGAACTAATACATAGCCCCATCATTTGTGTGGTTACCTTGTGTTTCTTCACAATCCTTCCCACACCAGCAGCGAGCGGACTGTATCATAAACCCCTCCCCCAACAGCGCGCGCCTATAAGAAAAGAAATTAATGGCTGCTCTTGCCTCGCCCCTCCGCTCCTATTTTACCCCTCTTCTCCGCCCCGCTCTCTCCCATCGCTCTCCCTCATCAACCTCCTTTCTCTACAGGTCTCCTACCACAAAACCATCTTCTTTCATCAACACTCATAACAGCGCTCGCTTCTTTCGTCCTCCTGCACCAAAGAGAAAAATGGCTTGGTTCGAGATTTCCTACACTCCCCCTACTGGCCCAGGTAAGTTTGTTATTTCATTCTCTCAAAACTATTCTCCTCGTTCCGTCTCATTGCATCACGCATTCTTGAGATGGCAGTCTCGTCCAGCCTCCATCTCTATCTTATCTCACGGATTAATTTTTCACTAACTTAATGCCATTATTAAAGTTGAGCAATGGGGTCGTATTGAGTTCACACTCTACGATGACGTCGTCCCAAGAACCGCGGAGAACTTCAAAACTCTCTGCACCTACCCGGAGGGATCTGGCTACAAGGGTTCCAAGTTCCATAGGGTCATTAGTAGATTTATGGCTCAGGGTGGTGACTTCACCCGTGGCAACGTAATTTACCTCAGTGCCCTTTCGGTGATAGGTATGAAATAGCGAACTAAATTTTTTTTTTTTTTGAAATAGGGAACTGGCGGGAAGTCTATCTGGGGTGACAAGTTCAATGATGAGAACTTCCTCAAGAAACATAACAAACCGTATCTTCTCTCTATGGCAAACGCCGGACGGAACACCAATGGTTTGTTTCAGCTCATACTTTCTTGCTGTTGAATGGTGATGCTAACTTGGGTTTTAGGATCACAGTTCTTCATCACTGTTAGTACGACCAATCCCCATTAGTTTGTTACAGATTGTTTAAGAATAACCCGTGGATAGTTCGTTGAAACCCCCCACCTTGACGATAAACACGTCGTCTTCGGCGAGGTGTCTAACGACGTTGGCCGGGCTATCGTGCAGAGGATGGAGGAAAAGTCTCTGGATGGTAGCGGCCGCACTTCTGGCACCATTACCATCTCTGATTGTGGTGCTTATTAAGCAGACCGCGTTCTGCATTCACCACATATATCCCCCCCCTTTGTTTGCGAATCGTTAGGGAAATTAGTGGATGAAGTAGAATTTCTAGGTGTTTGGTTTGGTTTTCCACTCTAGTTATTCTAAAAAAAAAACTATCATTGTCTTGTTTGATTCGTTGGAGGGGGATAAAAAACGGGGAAAGCGAAATTGAATAAAACACTTCTTGGGGCCTCGGTTCGTTCTACGAGTACCGGTACCGTACTGTGCGATCTTGGCGACAAAAGAAACCGACCCCTCACGTTTTCCATATGAGATGCTCATTTTCAACGGGCAGCTACTCACCGCCATAGCCTCAGAAAAATGTAGTGATTGTTTAGATAGCATAACTTGATTCCAAGATTCGTATAATTGAAGGCCATGTTATAAATGATTCTAAAGATTCTAATCACTGGAATTCTTGAGAACCAATCTGTACTCGACTTAAACATCGGACTTCTGCATGGCAACCATTCTGTCTAACTTATGGTTTGCTTGCTTCCTGTGTTCAGCAGAATGGGAAGAGTTCAGAATTTTATATGTCAAATTCCCTCTGACTCTCTTCCATCTGGTTATAGTTTGAGGGGGAAATTTTGTTGTGTGTTGGCTGAACTTCTAAAGGAGGAGAATGTGTTACCGGGTGGAAGAATGACATTGTTCGCCCGACTATGAGGCTTGAGGCTACGATGCCTGCTAGTCCTTGCTCTGGTACTGGAGTATGATTTTCGGGTGAGGAAAGGTAGCTAAGGGCACACTGATCTTGGCATGGAGTGCGATTTTCGTGCTAAAATTACCGTATGATACATGTATTGTTGCAAATGCTACCGTAAAAACTGAGGGAGGTGGCCAACTCCGTCCCATGATCTTTTAACCCCGGGCCAGCAAGATCGAGGCTTGGTGGTGGGATGTGGTTGGTCTACGTCGTGAGCACAGCTGCTACGGTACCCTATTGCATACCGCCAAAATTAATATTTTTTGGCCGGTGTCATGCAGTGGTGGTCGTGTACGCAAACACCATTCGATTACCAGTATTGACGGGGTGGGGGCACGTTTATTTTGCTGTCAGGGTGGTACGAGTACGGCAGCGGTATCTCTGATGCTGCTCTAGTCTAACCCCTCTTCACCCCCTCTTCACTTCAGCAAGACCCCGCTTTTCTTCCACCCTCAAGAATATCATCAACCGACCATACCGGATAGCTCCTCCTCGACCAATATCGCCTTTTGTTAGTTGCAAGAGATATTTGGATCTACAATAGTGTAAGCGGCAAAAGAGTGGAAGATGTCTCAATCTACCATCAAAGATAATCACAATTCCTTCAATAATACGAACTATGTTAATGTCTGGAACAACTATACTGTTGCCGATGATCGGCCTCAACTCCTAGCCTGGTTATCACCCTTGGAGCCCCGATTTCGACATCGAGATATTCAGGAGCACCGTGTCGACAATGTAGGGGAATGGCTCATGCAGACTGAGGAATTCAGAAGTTGGTATGACTGGAGCGGAAAAGGTGGAGGCGATAACCCAGTCTTGTTTGGCTACGGAGATCCGGGAGCCGGCAAGACATTTATCAGGTAACGGGGATTATTATTGCGGGGAGAGAGCCAGCGCTAACGAGCCGCGATGTCAGTTCGTTGGTAGTGGACAGGCTATGCGATCAGGTCAGAGGACAAAATACCGCCGTTGCGTGTTTTTACTTTGACTTTGCGGCTCGAAAGGAGCAATCTGCGACTAGTATGCTGGGTTCCTTGCTGAAACAGATGGTTAGTGGTACGGCGGGGGTTCCGGATGAGATATTGTGCGCCTTTCAGGAGCAGAAAGAGGCAATTGGTGGACGGGGGCCGCGACTTCCTGATATCGTAAAGATGCTACAGACTTTCACGTCCTCGAAGCGCACGTTTATGTGCATTGACGCTTTAGACGAATGTGCGGCGGTGCACCGAGTCAAGCTCCTGGATTCGTTGAAACAGATCCTCGAGAAGTCTCCGGGTACACGAATATTCGTGACTGGAAGGCCCCATATCCGGGCCGAGATCGAAAGGCGTCTTCCTGGACGAGTGATAAGTGTATCTGTGAGTCCCAGAAAAGATGATATCACCAGATACCTTCGTGTTAGACTAGACGAGGACGAAACTCCAGATGCCATGGATGAGAGCCTGGAGGCAGATATTCTGTACAAGATCCCCGAAAATATATCGGAAATGTACGTTTGGGCAATGGTACTACGAATCCCATTTCACGTTATACGCTAATAGATATGCTCAGGTTTCTACTGGTTTCCTTGAGTATCGAAGCAATCTTACAAGAATCGACGCTCCGTCGGAGACGAGAGAAGCTTAGCACGATGACAAATGGGTTAGGGTTGGGAGATGCCTATGGTGCCACGATAGAGCGGATCAAGGCCCAGGGTGGGGATAAATCGAGACTCGGGATGGCGGCTTTGATGTGGATCAGTCATGCAGAACGGCCACTGGAAGCGGATGAACTCTGCCACGCCCTAGCAGTCGAGATAGGCTCCACCGATTTTGATGCTGCCAATGTTCCTTCAATGTCGACATTGGTGAGCTGCTGTCAAGCACTTATTACCGTGGATAGGGAGGCATCAACTGTGCGACTGATCCACTTTACTCTCCAAGAGTACCTTTCCGCTCATCCCAACATTTTCAAGAAACCTGACTCGACAATGGCGGAAACCTGTTTGACTTATCTCAATTCCCAACAGGTCAGGGCTCTTTCGGCCGATCCCTTTCTTGAAACCCGGGATGCACCTTTCATAGAGTACTCTTCGGTATACTGGGGACTCCATGCGAAAAGGGAACTCTCGGACTGCGCGACATCACTTGCGCTAAAGCTACTTCCGGAGTATAATGGTGGCTTATCCACCAAGCTTATTTTTGATCAAGTGAAGCACTTGTATCATTGGGGTACGAGCACTTGGTCTCCGTTCAGTGGATTACACTATGCATCATTCCTCGGAATTGCTGGAGTTGTAGCTGCATTGATAGAGATGGGATGTGGTGATATCAATGGGGGAGATTATTTGGGGTACACGCCACTTGCATGGGCAGCTCATAATGGACATGAGGAAGTGGTGAGTATACTACTTGACCAGGAAGAGATCAATCCCGAAAAGCCAGACAATTATGGCCAAACGCCGCTCTCGTTTGCCGCTTGGAATGGCCATGAAGGGGTGGTGAAAATGCTGCTCGGGCGGGAAGAGGTCAATCCCGACGGGCTAGATGGTGTTGGTCGCTCGCCGCTCTCATATGCCGCTTCGAGGGGACATGAGGGAACGGTGGAAACCCTACTCGGGCGGGAGGAGGTCAAACCCGACCTGCCAGATATTTACGGCCAAACGCCCTTCTTGTTTGCCGCTTGGGATGGATATGAGGGGGTGGTGAAAATACTGCTCAGGCGGGAAGAGGTCGACCCCGACAGGCTAGATGTTACGGGTCGGTCGCCCCTCTTGTTTGCCGCTAGGGGTGGACATGAAGGAGTGGTGAAAATACTACTCGGGCTGAAACAGGTCGACCCCGACAGGCCGGAGAATAACGGCAAAACACCGCTCGCGCATGCCGCTTCCGAAGGATATGAGGGAGTGGTGAAAATATTGCTCAGGCGGGAAGAGGTCGACCCCGACAAGCCAGATAATGGCGGCAAAACGCCGCTCTCGCATGCCGCTTCCGCGGGACATGAGGGAGTGGTGGAAATACTACTCGGGCGAGCAGAGGTCGACCCGGACAAACCAGATACTGACGGCCGGACACCCCTCTCGTATGCCGCTTCCCTAAGACAGGAGGGAATGGTGAAACTCCTGGTCGGGCGGGAAGAAGTCGACCCCGACAAGTTAGATAATAAAGGCCGAACACCCCTGTCGTATGCTGTTAGCCATGAGGTGATTGCGCTGCTACAGTCTCACAAAGCGGCACCCGTGGCCCCAGTGCCACCTGAGGCCTAGGATACACCACCTCGTGGGGATCACGCGCTCCTCCCTTTCGCGGTATGCTACTCACGGAGGTTGTCCGCGGGTATCACTCTTTGCAGGCGAGGGAAATCCCAAGAGATGGGAATTTACATATATGCCACCATACCTTCCTGAACCTCTCCAGAGAATTGCGCTAGGCGTGTGGGGGTTTGTCGGTTTCTGTTTACGAAGTGTAGTAGAGTTTGGTCAGTGGGGAGGCGATACAGTTCTATTGTTGTGAGAAGATCCAGTTTATAGTTTGCAGTTTTCGTCTTATCGTATGATATTTAATTTTCTCTAGTTGTAAATTATTGGCTGCCTATTCTTTTTTGTTTCTTGTACAGTTTATCCCCCCCCCCGTGAGATAGACCAGCTACATATTGAGTGTTTTGATGGAGGAAAAGTGATGTACGATAGCGCAAGGGTTCTTGAAGCAATTGTTAGCAGCGATATAAACACTGTGCCTGCAATTGGAGACTGATCACCATACATGATAATATGCCTCAACGAAAAGTACGATATCATACTTGGAGGATACCGGCTAGCCACTCTCGCTATTGTCGTCAGTATGGAGGCAGGGGGGGCTAGCAGGCAGGCTTTTCATATCGCCCGTTCGTCTCACTCGTCTCACGATCGACTTGATAGCATGAGACAAGCCAACAGAGAAGACTTCAAGAAGACGTAATAGAGCATGTATTCAAATACCAACTTGCAAGACTCCAAGCAGAAACCGCATTGACGCCGCCGAATGTCAAACACCCCAATAGTACTGTTACGCCTCGCGAGGTTGGCGAGAAAGGAGATTTCCAAACAGCTTGCTGGGAGGTTGCTGGGCAATGGTGGAACTCTTTCCTAATTACGACAAAAGAGTATCGGGGAACGCAATAGGAGCGTCTCTCATCTCCCAGACTACGGGTTCATTCATCTGGGTTGAAAAGGGCGGGGTCAGAGCGCCCATAAAGCTGTACGGTTTCGTCTACGAGTGAATTGGAGGGGGGGGGGTAAAGTGGAGTGAAGGGAGAGGCTTTTTCTTCCTGTTTTCCCCGGTATGGTATGATAGAATATCCGTCAGGCTGGAATTTGTGCGGCGTCGTCATGAGTCTGCGGTGCGGATCCTATAATACAGTTTGATACCACCGTGGCACACCTGTTAGCCCGACCATGTTAGGCTACCATCGCGTATATTACATCTCAGGGCCGAGTTCAGGGTTCGGTAGACTGCCGTAGCTGTGTTCTGACGGTTATCCAGGTCAGGTGGTATTTCATATATAATACTCGCCTACATAGGGCAAGCTCAAGCTCAATGAAGACCGAGGTTCCAGTCGTCCAAAGTGGGGGCATCTCGAGAGAAATTAGAGCTTTCTGGGATAGCCCGCCAATTGGTAAACGCTACTTTTGACGGTGGGTTCTTCTACTCCAAAGAACCTACCCTGCCCCGGAGTATATATGGCTGCACTGGATTGATAGTCGATGTCGTGATTTGTAATGCGGTGGTGGACAGTGGTGTGTTCCGCTGTGTCGATAATGATCGAAAATCAGGATACTCAAGGTATCACACCTTTATGGAACACCCCATTGTGAGGAAGAGCCCCTCGGTATTTGGGCACATTAAGGTGAATTTTTCTGCAGCGCATCAGGTCAGCTGCCAGGTTAGTACGGTGATCTTTTATAGTAGCCAAAGCGCCGGGGAGTGCAAGAACACTGTTTCCGGGACCAAATTCGACACTGGGAGACCTGAAAGAAATAGATTGCGTCGGGTGCGGTTTTGTGGTGTTGAAATAGGCGAAAATACCGGGGAAGAAGCTTGTATTGTCTAGTAGAGTTTCGCCGGTTTGTCATATAATTACCTAATAGTGGCAATGATAATAGTGAGAACAAGGTATTTTTTTATCTTAAACCTTCAGTACCGTAGATACATCATGCGGTTCAAGTGATGGTATCAATCCCCTTCACCGACGCTATTCAAGTTACTAAATACCTCCTCCGCGACTTCGCAACTTTCCTTGATGACCCGCTTAACAACTGCCCTCCCAACACCTCCACTCCCCCCTTCCAGAGTCCTCACGCCAACGACCTTCTTTCCACAAATCGAGACGGCGAGAACCACATCCCCGGCGGATAATTCTTCCCTTGTGGGGTCGAAGAATATGTTCTCGCCAACGTTGACCACCAGCAGGGTTATCGGCGGGGGGATTTTGCCAACGGGGTACAAAGGCAGAGCATTATCCCAGTCGTCGTCAAAGACTGGGTCCTCCACGACTTCAGAGATCAATTTCGGCAGGAAGGTGTTACGGAGAGCAAGGTATGTCGTGAGCGTGAGCAGAGTAGCGGGATGTGATAGCGGGGGCGCCAATAGCAATATCTATTCATCCAGGCCTTCTTATCAGCGCATCGTATCACAATAGCGAGCCAGACGGTAGCTGGAAGAAGGAAGGGAAACAAACATCGACAAAAACCTTCCAATGAAACCTCTCACCCAGAACCAACCTCTCCAAAACCCCACTGCCAGGAACGAGCAGACTCTCCGCCACTGTCATGCCTAGGAAGGCGTCGTCGTCGCGCTGGCCGGATACTTCCACGTTGATCTCAATCCAATCCCTCGGGCCTACGCTCGTGGCCGAGTTCCTTTCCACCTCGGCTTTCACGCCAACTACGCACTCCCCACCGTCGCCCCAGATCATGCGCGCGGAGCCATTGGTCGATGGGAGGATGTCGGACTCGGCGACCAGTGGGCGAAACTGTGTCGGTGTGCGGGAGTCCGGGCGGATGGGCGGGGTTAGCGTTAGAGAGGTGTGCAGGTATGAGAGCTCTGCCGGGGATAGCGGAGTTCCTGTTTGTTGGCTTGTTTGCAGGGGCGCCATGGTGCTTGCGAATCGGGCACTGTTAGCGGTGGGGGTGTAGGGAAGTTTTGCTCTGTTTTGGCGGTGGTGGTAAAGCTCGTATGATAGGAGTTTGGATAAATAATTTTGAGCCGCAAAGAAAGGTTGGCTGGCACGGGTGTCACAGTTAAAGTGCTAGGCACGTGAGTGACCACGGCATAGATTACTCTCCTAGTACCGGTATTTTGTATATAGTCTAGTCTCAGTAACTACGGTAGCGACACTCCTCTGCTGCTAGCACGTTGAAATAAGGTACCGTTACTAGTGTTATAGAGCCGAAGTAAAACATGCAATACCGTCCAAAATAGGCCTAATTATTGCCGTGAAGGTTAAGCCAAACCCGGTTTATCGTGATTTTGGGACAGATTACAAAGAAAACTCCAATTTCAGCACAATAGCGGTAGATGGATCCCGCCAGGTGCTCGAGTACGGTGCATACCGCAGGAGCACACAAGGGAAGGAGATAGCGGTAAAAAGGAAACTCGTATAGTCAACCTAATAGCCGCCGGCAAATCTCGCTAGTTAATGCTGTATTATATTTGTAACTTATGTTAAACCTTGAGGCTTCCCAAAACCTCAGCGCCAATCCCGCAATCCCAATTCACGCCCTCTCATGGAATGGTTCGTATAATAATAGTTAATCCCTTTCCTTTCCTCTTCTCTTTAACATCGAGGCAGGTTTCGGAGAGGATACAAGTTCTGAGAGAGGACTTGCCAGAAACTAGCCGCTCTCTGTTACTCTGTTTTGAAGAATTCAATTGGGGCTTTTTTTTTGGTGACCTAGCCTCGGAAACTCGCACCAAATCCTTGTCCTCAAATTGGCAAGGGACCGGGTTTCCGAGGCAATTTATTATCTGGGGGGTGCACGAACAAGGGCCAGCTGTCCTGATTTGGTGACGGGGTAATGATTTCCACAGAAACGCAGAATTTCACCTCTTCGGGCAGTTCGGTTTTCTCTAAAGGTTGGAAATTCTTAACTACACCTTGTTTACTCTTGCTAACGGTAGCGTCTTCTGATTTTTCCCAGATCCTACCTTACCAGCAGTATGCGGTTTTCTACGATTCACTTAGAGATAACTTTAAACCAAAAGTGACTGCTGCCCCGCTCAAGACTGCTCCTTTCTCGGCACCAATAATTGCCATCATTTTGGTAATAACTGCCCCGGGTACAAACCCATCCTCGGGTACGGCAGAATAGAAAGGGCAAACGGGGGGCCAATTCTTGGCTCAGAGACGTAGGTGAAGCTAAGTTGCAAATCCGACTCCCTACATAATCACAAGAGAGGTAATTGGCTGATACTCCTCTCAACCCCTCATCTTCATCGGTTGTTTGCCAGCTAAGCGGGATCACCTACACTACCAGTACGTCCGAGGCCATCAAATCGGCAGCTGACCATGGAATTACATCTTCCGCCCTCCGGGATCCCATGCCCATTCTTGAGACTTGGGCAATGTCCAAAGAGCGATGGATGCGAGTATGCCCATGATTTCATAGCCCAGCCTTGTCTCTCTGCTGCGCAAATCGGAAATCGGATGCGAGGACTCGAAGATATTAGACCTGCTAGTCGTGGCGAGCGAGCTAAGATAAAACGGAGGAAAAAACAGCTTCGCCGCCTTGGAGCTCGGAAGCTTGCGGCCCCCAGTCTAATCGAGCGGGGCATTCTGCCAACCAAGAAGGCTATTGATCATGAGCTTGGGAGGTACACAGTGGGGCCACCAAAAAACATTGCCCCCTCGGCTGTGAGGGAGAGGGCTTTTGGGGGAAGTGGGGGAGGTGATGGAGAATGGCAAATAGTGGAGGCAGGGCGTGAACGAAGGAGGCGAAAGCTCCTCGCTCGCATGAAGCATAACAACATACAGGTTCGTGGGCTGTCAGGGCGCTCAGGTGCAAATGTATGTCACCTTTCCACCTGGATGGATCGGATTTCTCCTCTATGCTCTAAATCCCCCGGTTTATGGTATTAACGGGTAGACAGGGGAACCCATCAGCCAAGGCGGATTTTGGGGCCAATGGAGGTGCCCTACCTTCTGGTGGAATTTTCGTCGGTGTCACTACTGCACGGGGAAGCATGGATGTTGACAAGGAGGTGGGGATTCCACGTCGAGTCGAGATTATTGGGGACTTTACAGTCAAATACCCCACTTCCATACCCCCCCACCTGCGACATAGGTACTTGAATCCATCACCGGCCTCTACGGATTCGTCACCTCCCCAAAAGCGGCCACCTTACACCGATGAGGAGATAAGCTATTTTCCATCAGTGGAGACTGGGCATGAAACTGGGAAAGGGCCTGTGACAAAAAGAGATAGGGCACTATCCTTTTGACAATCTCGTGTTATGTATTCACTCGACGATACTCCATTTCTTTTGGATATCAGGGCAATGGGAGGTGTTTTTGCGGGCGAAAATTGAACATGTCTTATGATTGACACATTTCACTGGCGATCACTCGGTGCTCCGAATTCTAATATCCCCTTGAACACCACCCTGTAGAACTAATCGAACTGGGTAGAAAACTAAAAGGTTTATTCGCCTTTATTTGAACATCCTATCTATACTAGCCCTTTCGAGGAGCCGGACTCAAATTAAAGGACGACGAATCAAGGCCATAAAAATCCCCCAGCGAATAGTAGTGTGTCCCCTCCCTCTTATTTATAGATAGCTCGGCTAACATCGAGAGCCACAATGCCCTCTCTCAAACCAAGAAAAAGGAAAAGTGGAAAAAGAGGCTACCGCCCAACCCACTCCAACTCCACGTCATGCCTAATCATAACCGTCAAATACCTTTTACTATTGCTAATAGCCGACTTTCCCCTATTATCTGCCACCTCCTGCGTCTCGCCTTCCTGCCTTTTGATCCTGACTGAAGAATCACGAAACAATACAGCCAAAACCGCAGTCATTTCCACCAATGCAAAGTTCTTCCCAACACAGGCTCTCCAGCCGTCTGAGAAGGGGGCAAACGCTCCCTTCACCGGTGTCCTTAAGTAGCAATATGGGGCGCTTTGGAACCCCGTCCGCGGTGTTTCCGATGGTGTTATCGGGGTTTTAACTCCGGTTTCCGGATCGGTGCGCACCCACCCTTCTGAGGAAAAACGGAGATCCCACCTTTGCGGATGGAACCCTTTGGCTGTGTCCCCCCACAAAGAGGGATTGTAATGTAGGGCTGTCGTGGTTATATAGGCCAACGCTCCTGGCGGCATGAGGCACTGCTTGCCTCTCTAGTCTACTGGCTGGTACTTATCAGCTGTCCACTTGGGGATATGCATGTGAGGCGTATTCACGCGGAGGGTTTCATGCTTTCGGGTGTCAGTATCCTTCCTCAAATATTTCAGTGTAACCCCAACAAACTTACTATGACACAAAGCACAGCAGCCATTTTCGGATAAACCTTTTCGTAGTCCCATTTCGAGGGGTCCTGATCTTCATCTTTCAGGGCTTCCTGCAAATCTTCGTAGAGCCAATCCTGCACATCAGGATTCAATGCCAGGTGCATGATGGCGTAATGAAATGTTCCCGTGGTAGTCTCTAATCCCGCCACGGCGAATATAAAGGCATTCCCGATCACCTCTACATCGGCCAATCCTGATCCCTTATCCGGTCCATCCCCAGCTGATGCCTTGGCCAGCGACCCAAGCAGATTCTTTCTATCGGATGCCGCAGCTTTGTTGTCAATCTGGGTCAATTCCTTCAAATATATTCCCAACTCGTCATACGACCGACCGATCTTTTTCAGCGATTCCGGGCCATTTCTCAAAAGCCACTTTGGGGAGATAACCAATGGGATAATGTTATCCAATACATGGTTCACAGCCTTCCCATACGACATCTTGTGTCCTGGCGGGATGTTCCGACCGAAATGCTCTGCCGTCTCACTCTCATGATCGAAGGGCAGGGCTACCCCAAAATTGCTGAGGGATAGCACGTTCATTGAAATTGTGCGGAGATCTCGGCCAACATTCTCGCAAGAATTTTTGCGATTCCAGACGTTGACGGCGGCGTACGCCTGTTTGATACCTTCATCCCATACAACCTTGTTCACAGTTTCGTTGAACGGAGGACGGGTGTACTTATTATGCCGGCGCCAGTCTGCCCCCCCGAGCTGAGTTATGCTTGTTAGCCAGTGAAGCTTAGTGACAATGGAAGAGCTCCCCATACTGTCAATACGTTATCCCCATAAAAGCGAACATATTCTAACTCCCGGATTAGTTTTCATTATCTCACCCCTCCCCAGGAGCAGAGTCCACAACCCACCATAAACCTTGGTAGCTTTGGGAAAGTCATTCCTTCGCTCATACATCTGTCTCGCGACCTCCACACTCCCCACATATATCGTCACTCCCCCAGGGCTCACGGCGCAAATGACATCCCCCTACTTCTCAAAGAGCTCAAACTTCGTATGGTGACACCAGTCCTGCCAGAAAATCTTAAGGTACGTCCAATTAGGCAAGTACTGCCAAAGCTCCCGGTTGAAGCCGCAGGTCAAAACATAGAAGAGGTTCATTTCATGCCATGGCAAGATGAGGTATGGTAGGCCGGACCTTCGAACCTCCCTGATGTTGTATAGAAGGTGTATGATAGAGCTGACAGTGTAGAGTGTAATGGTGGCTCCAACGCAGATGGCCAATATCAGTAGAGTACCCATTGCGGCCCGTTGTCGATATCACCCTTGAAGGGGGATTGAGTTCTACGTTATATAACCTAGCTGATCTCCCCCCATCGCTGGGAAAGGCGGAAGGAAGGGACATGGAGGGAGCTTACAAGCGATTTCTGGACAGCGTAGCACCTGTTCTAGTACAATACAGTAAGGCAATCTAGAAGAGTAGGACTAGGATAAATCCCGGGTATCACCATGGTTGCATTCCAATATTATCCAAAGCTATAGGCGACCACTAGGTCTTGGATACCAATTGGTTTCATCCATTCCTCTTTCTTCCCAATACCAGGGCAATCGAACCCCCTATCTCCCGTATGCTGTCG